TAAATATTATATAAAAATAAATAAATATATATATATAATAAAATAAAACAAATAGAATAAATTCTATAAAATATAAAGCAAATTTAAAATTGTTAATAAAAAAAAATTTAATTTATACAATAAACTATATTATATATATAAAAAAAATAATAATAACAAAGAATTAAGTATAGAAAATTATAAAATTAACTTTTATACATTAACATAAAAATCACGCATTAAAAATAATAATATATATAAATATATAAAAAGGCTTCTTAAAATATTTATATTTAAAAAGAATAAAATAATTAATTATAATATAATAAAAAATTGTATAAAGTATAATTATTAAAGAAGTAATATAAATAAAAATAAAAATGATATATAAATTTTATTATTAATATATATGAAAACAATATTAAGTAGTAAAAAAATTATAAATAATATTTAAAATAGATATATGATATATAAAAAAAAATAATAAATAAAAATAATAATAATAATAATAATAATAATAAAAAAAAGAAATATGATAATAATAAAATAAAAAAATAATATAATATAATAAATTTATATATATTTATATCAATATATTTAATATTATTATTATAAAAAATATTATTTTTATTTTTAATATATATTATATATATTTATTAATATAATTTAAATTTAAATATATATAATTCTATTATATTAAATAAAAATTTATTTCAAAATAAATATATACATTCATAGATCACAAATAATCATATATTTATACAATCTACTTTATTATTTCAAAATTAAATAATAAATTAATTAAATATAACTTAATTAATATATTGTTACTTATTTTTAAATATTTACATTTCATTTTTATTTTTTTTATAATTTTTATTTTTGTTATTATTCTTACTTTTTTAATTTTTTTTATAAAGATAAAGTTATTTTTAACTGTTTTTATAACAATTTTAACTACATATTATTATTTTTTTTGTTAATTAATTGAAATTTTCAAAAAAGATTAAATTTATAAATTTTCAAACTAAAAATCAAATAATATTATTTCATTTTGTTATAAAAACTAGAAGAAGTTTAAATATATAACACATATCAATTAGGAAAAAAAAAAAAATCAAAATGAATTATAATGTCAAAAAATTATGTTTTATTAAAAAACATATAACTATGTATTAAGAAATTAAGGAGTTTTATAAAATTTTAGATTAAAATGATGTTTAATAAGATTATTAAAATAAATAAGATTAATAAAATTAACAATATTATAAAGATAAACAAGATTATTATTTATATGACTATGAATATTTTGATATAAAAGATTAATAAGATGAAATTGTCTTATATAAATAAAAATAATAAAATTAACCTATTATAAATATAAAAATACTATTTTAATATTTTTATTATATATAAAATATATATTTATTATTATTTTAAAAAAATTTAATCAATAATTTAATATATGTATATTTTTTTATTAATATAAAAAAATATATTTTAATAAATTATTTATATTCAACTAAAAATCATATAAATTAAAGCTATACATATAATTAAAGAATATATTATACAACTCTTCATATTTCCACTAAAGAAAAATTTCGGGTCCTCATTTATATCCTAGTCTTCTTGAATTGTTTCCTCATTTTCTTTATAATGGAATTTCGAATAATTTGAATATTATTCAATTTAATTCAAATTATAACCCTGTGATAAAATATTGCTTTAATTAAGATTAAATGTTTAATTTGGCATTTGATTATAATTATAAGTCAATTCAGGAGTATTTTAAAATGAATTATCTTAACAACTATTATAAGATAATAAACTTTTAATAGCCGGATTACATTACTCTTTATTTTAAATATCAACTGAGTTAACTTATATTATTGCTTATTAATTATTTTGCTATTATAATAATGTTTATTGCATATTTATTAAGTAGCTATTATAGTAAATTAATATTTAACTTATAAAATTTTTAAGAATATATTTAAAAAAAAAGATTTTTTTTAAATAAATAATATTTTTAAAAATATAAGTTATAAAAAATTTCATTTGAAATAAAAAAACAGAGTTTAAAAAAAAAAATATATATAAAATTAATTCTAAAAAACTTTAAAATAATTAAACCTATATATAAACTTCTTTTGTAATTATATAATAAATATAAATATTTATAATATATAAAATTATTTATTTAAAAAGATTTTAAATATTTTATTTAACTCATTCTATATTATCATTATAATATAAGACTATTTTAAAAGTTATTAAAAAAAATATAAAAAATTAAAATAATTAAAAATATAAAAAGAAATATAAAAAATATTTATATTTATAATTTTAATTATAAATGAAAATATAAATTAAAAATAATATATATATTTATAAAACTTATATATATTATTTATTTATGTATATTTTTTTTTTCCAATTATTTAATATTTTTTTTTAAAACGTATACAATACAAATATAATACATAATTTATAAATTATGAATAATTCTTAATAATTTATTTTTATTATATTCTTCATTTAAAATATTCAAAAAACTACACAATTTATATTTATACAATTATTTGGAATACTTTTCTTTTCTTATTAATTTATTATTTTATTATTTTATTATTTATTTTTATTTATATCTAATCTTAATTTTTCAGTTTTTCTTAATAATACTGACTATTTTTAAATATTACATATTCATTTTAAATAGATGATATTTAAGAAGATTAATATTATTCTTAATCATAATCTGTTTAATCAATCGAGTACTCCTTAGAATCATTATTACTTTCATTTATTTCACTATTTATTAATGTATAATAATTTAAAAAAGAACTATAATTTTAATTTCTGTTTGCATAAGTTGGGTCACTTTATTATCTAGAGTTATTGCATTTTTAACTTAATTAATATATAAGCTATTATGTATTTCTCAATAAATATATTTTATTTTTTTATTAATAAAATATAAAAATTTACTAGTTTTTATCTCTTATTGTATTTTAAAATTAATCTAAAGTTTTACAAAATTAAATTAAAGCTATTCTAATTTCTTTCATCATTTTAAACTAATATAAAAAATATATAATAATATGAAAAATAATTTAATATGATTTGTATATATAACTATAAAAAAATAAAATATTAAACTAAACAAATTTTAATTTTATTTTTATATGTAATTTTATTTATATAATTACAAATTTTATCACCCATTATACTATTTAGTTTCCTTTAAGCTTATTGTACATACTTTTAATATTATATAGTTCTCTTTTTTTTAAATCATCTAAAGGATTTAAAGTAATTTTTCTATTTTTTTATTTAAAAAAAAAATTTTTTTTTTTTTAATTTTATTAACAATATTTATTTTTTTATTTCTTGTAAATCTTATTTAATCATTTCAGAAATTTAATTAAATGAATATTTTTATTCTGATTATTAATGATATATTAAAGATTGTGCAAATTAATTAATTTCTTATTTTTAAGAATAAAGTTCCCTATAAACTTATTTTTAGCATTTTAATCTTGTTTAAAAAAATCTTATTGAAAGTCTGTTTTTAATATAAATAAATATTATATATATATATATATATATATATATATATATTTATTTATATATATTTATATATATAAATATTTTTTTAATATAATAAAGTAATTTTTTAAAAAATAAGTTTACAGTATATTCTTTTTAGCAACATGTTAATTTTATAAAGGCTTATCCTAAACAAATAATTATGAAGAATTTTAGTTTGAATTAATTTGTATTTTATTATCGTATTTAATAATTTATTATTTTAGATATTATATCTATATTTTATTTTCATATATTTGTTTTTATTAAAAAAAAAATATACTTTCATAATTAAAAAATAATTATTAAAAATGTTTTTTTTTATTTAGAATATTTATTATATTACATTTTAATATATAGATTATAAAAAATCTATTAATTTAGTCCTATTTTCTTTGTTTTCTATAAATTTATCTAATAATTTAGAATCTTAAAATTCTTTTTTTAGTCTCTTTATTTCATTATGAATTATATAAAAATAAACTAATATATTATTTTTTTACATTTATTTCATAAAAAAGTGACTTAAATTAGGTTTAATCATCATCGCTAAAATATGAATCTTATTAAATACATTCTCTTAATAGCTAAGAAAGTTTTAATAGCCTTGATGGCATATTTAACCATTAATTAGTTCCTATTTTATCCATTAAGAAAATAATATTTATATATATTTTTTTTTTATACAAAAAAAATTAAATTATAATTTTTTTTCTAAATAAAAGTAAATATGCATATGATTCATAATTTAATTTATCTATATGATATAAAAATATAATAATATATATAAAAAAATAAAATTATAAAGATTTATATATATTATTTTTGTATTTTAATTTACTAAATATGACATTATTTTTTAACTATTATGTAATAAATTTAATAATTTAATTTTTTAATAACATTTATTAATTATTTGAGTCAATACTATATATTTAAATAAAAAATATTTTTAAATATTTTATATATGTTAAAAAAGCAAAAAAAATAATATTTTATTTATATTCAAAATATTTTTTTTTATTATAAAAATCATAAATAATTTTAATATAAAATATATTATTTTCTATTTTTATTTTAATATAAAATTATAATTAAGAAAATTTATATATTAAATAAAATTATTCATTAAATTTATATTAAAAAAAAAAAAAAAGATGTTAATATTTTATATAAACAAAATAAAGTATAAATATAATAATTTATTTTTTTAAATAAATTAAAGAAAAAATTAAAGTATATATTTTTTTTTATTATATTATTTAACAAAATATCTATATATAAAAATATATATTAATATATTTGTTTTTTATTTATTTATTTATTTATTTATATAATTAATTTTTGTAAAATTAAAAAACAAAACAGTCATTACATATTATATATAAAATTTACATTTAAAATAAAAAAACTAAAAATAAAATAAAAAAATGGATTGGATTAACAGATTAAATAATATTCAAAACAAAGTAAGATTTTAATTACATTCGCGTAAATTAGATGATTTAGAGTCCGTATACAAGCTAATGAGCGAGTTCGACAAGGACAATTCCGGAAAACTTGACAAATACGAATTCTAGAACTTTTTGAGTAGAATCGGTGTATTTTTAAGTTCCTAGGAACTCCGTGCTGTTTACGATTAATATGATACTAATAAAGACGAGTAAATATCTTACGCTGAATTTATATAATTAATCCGAACTTCTATTTCTGAGAAAAGACTTGCAGTAGTAAAACACGCTTTTTAGTTCTTGGATAGAAGAAATAATGGAAAATTAAATATTAATGAATTAATTTAATTATATAGAGCAGAAGCTCATCCTAGGGTTGTTACTCGTTAAAAAAGCGCTGAATAGGTTAGAGATGAATTTATAAATGCTATTTCTAAAAAAAGCTTAGATGGTAAAAATATTTTTATTTTTTTGGTTTTAAATAAAAAAATAAAACTTTTTTTTTTTTTTTTTTTTTTTCTTTCTTTAATGTTTTTTTTTTTTAAAAAAAAATAATAATATTATATATAGGATAAAATATAATTGAAAATGATTTCCTTGAATATTATGCTGATGTAAATGCTACACTTCCATAAGAAAAAGAAGAATATTTTGTTGATATAGTATTAAATACATGGGGAATAACATCTTCTATTGATTATGTTTCTACTGAAAGATTAAATGATTTAGAATTAATTTTATATGAAAAAATAAGACAAAAAACTTCAACGAAAAACGATGAAGGAAAAACACTATAAAGTGCTTTTAAATATTTCGACTTATAATCTAGAGGAGTTATAGATATTCATTAATTTAAATAAACATTAGAGAAATTCGGATGTGTATTTACAGATAAAGAAATCCATGCATTATTTAATAAATATGATACAACTCATTCCGGAAAAATGTAAAAAAAATAAAAAAAATATTTTTTCGTTAAAATATAATTTAAAAAAAATAAATAAATATAGATGTTATGATGAATTTAGTTCTATTTTTGCTACTTTAGGAAGTTAAAATAATGCTAATGTAAAACCTATATTTGATTTAGAAAGATAACCACCTACTATTGTCTTAGAAAAAATAAGAAATGAGTTTTAAAAGAGAAATTTATATGCATTTAGGGCTTTAGGAAGAGCTTGTACAAAAGCTGATAATTTCTTAAATGGATATTTGGAACTAAGCGAATTTTAATGGGTTTTAAAAGAAGTAGAATTCTAATTGACGAAAACTGAATTTAATAATCTTTTTAAATATTTTGATAAGAATAATGATGGAAAAATTTATTATTAAAATTTTATTAATTTGGTTAGAGGTAATGTTTCTTAATAAGTTGTAGACTCTATTGCTTAGAAATATTCTAATTTATAAAGTTAAGGACCGGTTTCAGTTGCTAGTATTGTCAGAAATTATAATTCTTTGGCTGTTTAGGAAATATATCATACTAAAAAATGTGCCTAAGAATTGTCAAAAGAATTCTAAGATTAATGGTAAAGTTATGTTTCATAACCATAAGTATTTTTTTTTTTTTCTACATATAATTTATTTTATACTTTTTAAGGTTTCATAAGATTAATTTGTTGATTTCTTCGTAGATGTGTTTGCTTTTAGCTAAAATGAAGACAAATTTTAAAATTATATTCAAAAGGCCTTCCCTTGAAATTTTTAAAGGAAAAAATATTTATATATATAATATTAACACTTTATAAGAAAAATTCAAATATTTTTATATATAGATATTAAAATTATAAAAATAATATATATATATATTTAAATATATAAAAAATTATATATATATATATATAAATAAATAAATATATATTTAAAAGCCATATATATCTTTTATATATAATTTATACACATAATATTAATTTTATTTTTTATTAATTAATTCGTTTTATTTAATTTTGTTTTATTTTTAATTTTTATTAGTAATTGTTTTTTTATAAATAAATAATTATATAATTTTTAATCATATATATTTATTAAAATCAATTATTAATAATATAAATAAAATTAAGAATAATTTTTTTTATTTTACAAATTAAATTTTTTACTTAATACTTTATATTAAATTATTTCATTAATTATGATAATTATATTAATATGATTTTTTAACATATGTGGCAATAATTAATTGATTTAAAAAAAATTAATTTATCTAAAAATAAAAAAAAATATTAATTAATATAAAATTAAGAAGTGTTTTTTTATAATTATTATTAAATAAGAAAAAAATAAATAAAAAAAAATGGATTTTTAATAATAAATAGATTAAAAAAATTAATAAATAAATGAGTTGAATAATATAATATTAAATAATTAATTAGAATTAAAAATTTAAAATGATAAAATAAAAATTTAGGATTAAATAAATTTAGAAATAAGTGAATAAAATTAAAAAAATCTTAATACAAACAAAGAGCTATACCAGATATTATATTATAAATAATAATTTTTAGAAGAATTTAAAGTATATTATAAAATAAATGAAAAATTATATTATTAAAAAAATAAAAAATAATAGAATTAAAATAACATTATAAATGATAAATTAATTTTAATGTCCAAATTTTTTTAAAACTTATGTGAAGATATAGCCAAATAAAGCAATAAAAATGGAAAGAAAATATTCGAAAGCTTAAATTTTATAAAATTATAAATAATCGAAATGTAAGATTTATTAATTTCGATTGACGAACCGAATAATTAAACAATTTAGTTATATAAAGTATCAAAATAATTAAAAAGATCTTATGTCGAGAATCCAGAAATAAAATAACATTCATAAAGTGAAAATGCTCTTTATTCTCAAAAAAAAAAAAATGTGGAAAATTACAATTAAATATAAAAAGAAGAATAAAAACAAGATAAACCTGAAGATTTAAATAACGATAAATTAAATCCTGAATAAAAAGTTTAAATATATATTATTAATTATATTTATAAAAAATAAAGTTTAATAAAATTGTTAGTCAAGGAGATCCCGAATATGAATAAAATGTTTAATTATTAAAATGGTTAGATAAAGGAAAATGCAAATTTGATAAAATAAAAATGGTTTTCTATAATAACTATAGAGGAATACATGCAAAAAGAAAGATATTAGTTATTTTATATAAAAAAAAAAAAAAAAAGTATAATTTTACAAAATTATTATATATAAAATTAGAAAGGAGAGACAATAATAAGTATATAAAAATCAAATATGATAACATTAGAATTATCGAAACAATTGCCTTTTTGTCGTAAAATCGAATTCGAAAATTTAAAATTACTAAGTCCTAAACATACATATTTATCAATATATTTAATCCATGAAAAAAAAACAATAAGTCTTTTTGGAAACCTTATATAGATGTATTACCTTGTGAATATACGACATACCCAATTTTATATACAAAAGAAGAATTATAATGGTTAGAAGGAAGTTAATTCCTAAACTAAGTTATTGAAAGAAGAGAATGTGTAAGCCAAGATTATTTTACAATATGTTAAAGATTTCCTGAATTTAAAAAATTTTGCACTTTAGATGAATTTTCGTGGGCTAGAATGATGGCTGCGTCTAGAATTTATGGACTTTTTATAGACTCTTAAAGAACAGATGCTTTTGTACCACTTGCAGGTATATTTAGTTTTTTATTTGTAGTATGTTTATATATATATATATAGATATGTTAAATCATAAAAGACCAGCTTATACAACTTGGGGATTTTGTGAATAAACTAATTGCTTTGTTTTAAAAGCTTCAGAAGATATAAGATTAGGAGATTAAATATATTATAGTTGTGGAAGGAAATGTAATTCGAGATTTTTATTAAATTATGGTTTTGTTGTTAAAAATAATGAGGCTAATGAAATTTTAGTACATTTTTTTTTTTGTTTAAAAAAAAAAAAATCTATAAAAAGATAAAAACTTCATTTGATGTTTATGATGAAACTTTGCCTTGCAAATTATAATTAATAGATAGGATTCTTGAATAATAGGTTTTTAAATTACATATGAATTATGAAGAAAAAGATGTGCTTGAGTTATTTGGCTTTTTAAGATTTAAGTAGACTAAAGATTTGTAGATTCTCTAAAAATTTTAAGAAATTGCAGAATATTAACCTTTTGATCCTTAAAGGACACCTCCTTATTCGATAGAAAATGAAACTTTAGTTTGGGAAGAATTGTTAAGTATTTCAAATGACTTACTTAGTAAATATCCTACTACTATAGAAGTATTTTTAATATATATGTAATGATTTTTTATAGTAAAAAAAAGGAGGATAAATAAATATTTGAAACAAATAAATTAACTATAAATTAATAGAATTGCTTGATTTTAAGAATGGGAGAAAAAGAAGTATTTATTTAATAATATAATAAAATTTATTAAAAAAAAATAGATATTGAGATATTATATAAAAATGGGAAATATAATAATTTAATTATTATAGATGACAAAAAAAGTTAAAATTATTTTAAATATAACATATATATATTATTTTTTTTAAAAATATAAACTATCATACATATTAATTAATAAATATATATTTATATATATTTAATATTAGGACATAAAAAAATATATTTTACAAAATTCGGATTGTACTTAATATTCGAGTTATGTAAATGGAATTGTTATCCCTCTAGTCTCTAAAAAAGATAATATTGTTAATAATTAAGAGTCAGATATATGATAAATAATTTTTTTAATATTTTTTATTTTTTTTGAAATAAAAAAAAATTAATAATAAAAATTATTTTTTATATACTTATTTAAAAATTTTGATTTTTTAGATTTATCTTCTTTTTATTATGTATTTTTTATTTTGAGGATAAAAAAAATTAATATATTTAATTATATATAAATAATTAAAAAATAGTATAAATATTTTATTTAACAAAACATTTGCTTTTATTTGATCACAATTATTTGAATTTAATAAGAATTTTCAAAGTTTTTTAATTAAAATAATATAGATTTAAATAAAAAGTTTAAAATATAAAAATTTTATATGCTTATTATTAATATTAATTTATATTTTATATATATAAAAAAAAAATTATATAGTTTATTAAAATTAAATAAAATATTAAAAATTTTTTTAATACTTTATTATTTTTATTTATTTTTTATAATTAAATTATGTTATTAATTGATATCTATTTTAATAATTTATTTTAATTTGTATCCTTAACTTAATCTGAATTTTATAAAAATAAATAAAAAAATCATACAAATAAAAAAATTCAAGATAAATTGAATTTAAGATATTAATATGTACTTTAAATTATTATTTTTGTTTCTTTTGTAGACAAAATAAATTATATAAAATATAAATTTTATTTGTTTTATTATCTTTTTAATTATATTATTAATATATGAAAAATATAAATCAAAAAATTAAAGAAAAACGAAATTATTCTTTTTTACTTATAATTAATAGTATTTATTTTTTAATATTCCAAAAAAAAAAATTAATGTTTTTTAAATAATTTTATTTTTAAATGCTTTTTTTTTAATTATTATTTAACATTTGTTATGTATTATATAATAAATACATATTTCATTTTAAAATATCTTATAAATGCCAATTGAAAAATAAAAGTCAATTAAAACTAAAAAATATAGATATAAATTTTACAAAATTATATTATCATATAAATTATATTTATATATGTATATATTTTAAAATTATGTCTAAATTTAACAATTTTATCTAATAATTTTATCAAATAATTTTATCAGAATTTATGAATAAATTATCCTTCTTATAATTTCTAAATACATTCACTTATTTTTCTAAAATAAAACACTTTTGATTACTATTTAATCGAAAGACTTTATACATTTAATTTAGAAACAATGCTTTAATTAATTAATTTAATTTATATCTAAATAACTTAAGTAATTATTTCTTTTATTAAGTTTATTCTTAGAATATTATAAGGACTATCAAATTTACAAGATCCGAAAACATATTCATGTAATTCTTTATATTTCCTATTTTTTTTTAAATAGTTTATATTTTTTTCATTAAGTTTCAAAAACAAGCAATTAAAATGACTATGATTATAGAATATACTTTAGCTATGTGCATATTTTTTGCTTGATTATTTTATTCTATCTTTTATTCTTAGGATCATATTTTCATACCCTTCTATGATTTCCAATTAATCTAAATTTTCTTTATCAAGTAATTTAAGTAAGAATTAAATAACATATTTAGATTTGTTATAAATCATTTACTTATTAGAATTTATCTTTATATAGCTACTGTTATCGTCAGATTTGTTTTAATCTAATAATTAATCAAAATCAAAATTTTTTGATTTAAATTTGTAGCTTACATATCTAGATTCAATTAATTATTTCCAGTCTTGGAGATAGATTTCCTTATAATTCAAAGCTTTATAATCTCCATTTACATAAAGATAAAAGTATTTTTTTAAATCTTAGAGGATTTAGTTCTATTTTTATAAGTCATCTTTGTGTTTAAATTATATATTTAAAAAGTAATTAGAATGATTGCTTTTTTGTTATTAAACATTTGGTTCTTATTAAAATAAATTATTATTACATTATTATTAAAATATATTAAATATTTTTTTGCTATTATAATTTTCAATATATTATATCATTTAATTTAAAGTATTCATAGATGTATTTTCAATTTAGTTATTTTGTAGAATTATTTACAGTTATTAATAATTATTGAATAAATTTTCTTATTTCTTTTATATTAAAGTATATCCAGATGACTAACTATTAGAATATTATCTTATTTAGTTTTCAGTCTATTGTTAGAATTAATTAATTAATCTCTTTTAGTCAACATAACAATATCCTAGTTCATTATTAAGCTTTATTTTTTTAGAAATTACATTAAATTATGGGCAGCCATCTAAAATTATTTATTGACTAAGTATTTAAGGATTGCAGATCATAGTCTTTATTATTATGTTTAAATAAATAAAAATAATAAAAATATTAAAAATTACATAATTTTTTTTGAGAAAAGGTTGTTTTTATTTGAGTGTTATTATTTTTTTTTTTTATAATTAATTTATAATTTGATTTATAAAATTTCATATGTGCAAAATTATTTATATTTTATATATTTATATTATAATTAACTTTGTAAATTTAATAAAAAATAAATGTAAATATAAATTTTCTTGATTTTTCTTTTTTTTTAAAAAATTGATAACTTATTATAAAAATAATTATCATCTTATTTAAATTAATTAATAAAAATATTAAAAATATGCAAATAAATATAAACATAAAATAATATAACTAATAAACTATATCATTTTTATTATTGAGAAAATACTTGTATAAAATTTATTTTTTTAAATAATCGATATATATATATATTTATTAATTAAAATAAATATTAGCTTACGTATTTATTTTGATATAGATAAATGTAAATAAAATTTTAAATAATATTAATTGGCATTTTGTTTATATTTAATTACGACATTAAATAAATTTCTACAAATAAGGTCAAAATTAAATTTTTAATTAATATCTATAATTTATAATTTATTTTAAATAAATAATATTTTCTAAAATAATATCTTTGAAATACTGTATAAATTTATATTTAATTATAAATTAAATTATAATGTATTAAATTTTATATATTTACATTTTTTTAAACTTTATTAAATTTATTAAACAAATTAATCATAATTTTTATATTTATAACAATATAGAATATTGTTTTATTTTTATAAATTTTAAAATAAGTTTCATTATATATATAATAACTTAAAATAAAGTAAAATAAAAATTAGTTAATTTAAAATATAAAATAATTATATATTTTTTTATATATTAATTATATAGGGTATTTTTATTATAAAATAGAATAATTAATTATATTTTTCTATTTAAAAAAAAAATTATATTATTTTAAATTTTTTTTTAATTATTATTTGTATTGATAAATTTTATTATTATTATAATTATATCCACATTAAAATAAAAAATAAAAATAAGTATAAAAAAATAATTATATAAATTATATTATAAAATATGAAAATTTAAAAAAATTTAATAAAATAAAAATATATAATTATATATTAGAAATAATAAAAATAAATAAGAAATTTAAAATTAATTTAATAAATATTTTTAAATGTATTTTTAAATTAAATATAATAATTTTTTTTAATTTTGTATTAATATTTTATTTCTTTTACATAATTATTATCTATATAATAAATAAAATTTAAATAATATTTCATTAACAAAAATAATATAATTTTAAATAATTTAATTTTTTTTTATCTTAAAATATAATTGTTTAATACTAATTATTTTATTTATATTAATATATTGGATTATCATTTATTTTTCTTAATTTAACAATAAAATTTTCTATTTAATAAAAAGAAAAATATTAATAATAAATTAAAGTATATAAAATTGTATTATTTAATTTTTAAAAATTAATATTTTATTTGTTTGTTTTTTATTAATTAAAAAAAAAAAATTAACTATAAATATCTAATTAAAATTTAAAAAACAATAAAATTAATATTTAAATAAAAAAAATTATCTTATATATTTTATAAAAGAATAAAATAATATAAAATAACTTAATTAAAAAATATAAATCATATATATATTATTATATAGTGTTTATAATTATATTTCATATTTTCTTAAATAAACTGATAAGTTTTTTCTAAAATTTATATAATTGATATAATAAATAATTAATATAAAATATAATTATTTTTAATTAAAAATTATATATTATTGATTGATATTTTAATTATTATATGCAAATTATATTAATATATATATATATATATATATATTGATATGAATTTTTTATATAAGTAAATATTTAAAGTTTCTATTAACTGATAATATTATGTTATTAAACAATTTTTAGCAAAATAATGATTTATTTTCATTTTTATAAAAATCTAAGGCAAAAAAATGAAAAAGATATATTCTCCAAATTTATATATGTATAAAACAAATTTGTATCTATGTAAATAATGATAAAATTGTTATAAAAATAAGATTTTATAATTATACAAAAAATATTATTAATTTAAATATATTGAAAAAAGAAGATTGCTAATATAATATAATAATAGTTGAATTATTATTCGAAAAATTGAAACAAAAAATCAGATAATAAAAAATAGAAAAAAAATACTAATTCAGATTAGATTAATAATATAATATAATATTTTAATAAATATAAATATTATAATATTTAATATATATTTGTATTTATTTATATTTCTTATTATTTCTTTTGCCATTATATTTAAAATCAAAATTCGGTAAAAATATATAAAAATA